GCATGTTAACACACACGCACACGCGCACACACACCCGGGCTCAGGCGGGGGGGGGGGGGGGAGCTGGGAGAGGCAGGCGCCGAGCGGAGGCCCCCGGGCCTGGGGCTCTCCTCTCCGGCGGCCAAATCTGACACCTGGTCCGGGAGCAGGACATCGGCCAGCCCCCTGTCCGTTGCCCCTCTCGTGCCCGAGCCCGGCCCGTGCGTCGGGGGGAAAGCCAGCCGGTGGGCAGAACCAGCTCCCCAAACTGCGGCCAGAGTCAGGACACACGCCCGCAGCAGCCCCACTAGACACCATGGATACTTCTAGACGCAGACACCCCCGGGCGAGGATCGCCCCCGCCGGCTTACATTGCGCCAGCAGCCTCCGTGCGAATGAACCGGTGGTGTACATCGCGCACCGCCCCGACGCGCGCCTACACACACACACACACACACACACACGCACACACACCGCTACAGCGCACTCTCAGTCATCTTCTCCGGGCCCGCCCCGCCGGCCGCGCCCCCCCGTTAGTGCGACATCGGCCTGAGTCCACCTTGTTGCATGAACTCTCTCTCTCTCTCTCTCTCCCGAGCGGGCCCGGCCGCCGGCCGGGGTCCCGGGGCAGAGGTGCCGGGCAGGCCGCCACTGCCCGGGTGAGACCGTGTGCCCCCCCCCCCCCCCCCCCCCCCCCCCCCCCCGCCCCCCCCGCCGGCCCCGCCCCCCCCCCCCCCGCGCGCCGCGTCTCCGGCCAGCAGAGTGATGCGCCTTCCAGCACGTCGGGACGGCGCGGAGGTATCACGTGCGATGTTGGTGTGTATTTCTAAAAAAAATCAGATGGTCATATAGACGATGCCGCCCGTGACCATGACCTTCCCCTGGCGCGCCATCAGCGCGAGCAGGCTGTCGGCCTCCTCCTTGGAGAAGCCCGGCGACACGGTCCGGTTGATGCCGGCCAGGGCGTCCGCCACATTGAGACTCTGCGAGGCGCTCTGGCGGAATTGCCGCAGGAGGGCCTGCTGGAATTGCCGCAAGCTGCGCCGGTAGTAGAAAGGCCACGAGAGGGGGCCCGCGAGAGGGGGAAAAGCGAGGGCAAGGCAGGGGGAGCGCGTGAGAAGCTGCCATCCACACAGGGGACGCGACCATGAAGTACCCCCGGACGGGGGTGCGCTGCATGACGTACCGCTGCTCGTCCACCGGGCCCGCCTGGCTGGGCACCGAGGAGGCCGAGCTGGAGGGCGCACTGCTCTCGGAGATGGCCTGCGCAAAGAGGGACGTCGAGGCGGCCGTGGTGGCGGAGGACACCTGCGACGAGGAGGTCTCCTGGGACGTCGTCGTGGCCCCGGGCAGCAGGTGCTGCTGCGATGATCCATCCAACGAGGAGGGATACACTTCGCTCGAGCCTGTGAGGCCGGTGCTGGCAGCCGTGCCGGCATCGGACCCGACGCTGCCGAGGGTGCTACTGGCACCGGCCGTGGTGGCCGTGCTGGTGCTGGTGGTGCTGGTGGACGACTGCGAGTCGGCACCGGCCGAGCCGCCGCCGGAGGCCGCCGCACGGGCAGCCCCATCCCCGGGCACGGGGCGCCGGCGCTTCTTCCGCTCGACATCGGTCGAGTGCGTCAGGGAAAACTGCAACATCTCAAAGGCAAACTCCGCATCCGACAAGACCACCTCCGGCGACAGGCGAGCCTTGGCCGAAGCGGTGGCCAGGCGAATCAGCGTTTCCAGAGAACGAGCAGTCACGGGCAGCGACCGGTGCTCCTTCGGGTTGTTGCTGTTTCGCAGGTCGGTGAAGTATCGCGAGATGGCCTCCTGCGCCTCGGGCGTGAGCGTGGGCCTGGCGCAGGGCGTGCCAGCCGACGGCAGACCCGGTGACCAGGGCACAGGGGGGGGGGGGGGACGACTGTTAGTGATGCGGCATCGCCACCACCTGGCCAGCTGCCTGCCGGTGACTCGCTTGGGACACACGCACTTCACCATGGACTTCGCGTAGTGGATATACTTCTTGACAAAGGGAATGGTCAGAATGCGGGAGGCAGTAGACCGCCGGGCACCCGGCTGCAGCGGCTGGCTGGACACATAGCGCTCCTGCGCGAAGACCGGCGTGTCGGCCACCACCAGGCCCTCGGCCGGGTCGCCGGACTGGCCGGCTCCGCCGGTGCCATCGATCCCGGCCCCGAGGATGCTGTTGGAATTGTGCAGCGGCAGCGGGGCGCCATCCTCCTCGCCCGGGCGCCGGTACTGGTGCATCTTCAGCACGTGCGACGAGATGGCCCGATCGTGCTCCGGGTCCATGGTGTCCAGCACGATGAAGAGCAAGTCAAAGCGCGACAGCAGCGAGTCCGGCAGGCCGATGTTCTCGTGCGGGGTCTTGGTCCGGTTGTACTGCCCGTACACGGGGTTGGCCGCGGCCACCACCGAGCACCGGGCATTCAGCGTGGCATGGATGCCGGCCTTGGCGATGGTGACCGTCTGCTGCTCCATCACCTCGTGGATGGCCACCCGGTCGCTGTCGGACATCTTGTCAAACTCATCGATGCAAACCACCCCGCGGTCGGCCAACACCATGGCACCGGCCTCGAGGCGCCGCTCGCCGGTCTCGCTGTCCTGCGTGACGGCCGCCGTCAAACCGACACCGGACGCGCCGCGACCGGTGGTGGCGATGGCCAGCGGCGAGGTGTTCAGCACAAAGCGCAGAAGCTGCGACTTGGCGGTTGACGGGTCACCGACCATGAGAATGTTGATGTCCCTGCGGGCAGGCGCGGCAGGAAGGGAAGACCACGGGCCAAGCGCCGGGTGTCGGGCGCCGGGCGCGCCATCGTGGGAGACGTCAGTAAAACCAGGGCCAACGAGAGGGAAGGGGCTGGCAAACACACGGTGGCAAGTCCACGCGAACGCACCCTCGAATGCGCGTGCCATTGGTCAGGTTCTTTTCCAGGCCGCCCAGCAGCATCAGCAAGATGGCTCGCTTGATGGTGTCATGCCCGTAGATGGAGGGCGCCAGCGACCGGGACAGCAGCTCCACAATGTCCCCGCGGCGGCCGATCTTCCGAATGTTTTGGATGTCATGCGCCGAGATGGTCGGCTGCGAGTCCTCGGCGCCGATCCGCCGGATGTGGTTCACAAGCAGCACCGACCGGAAGATCCCGGACGTCGAGGCGGCCATGCGGTTCGGCAGGGCCCGGTACGATCCGTACACCACGCACCGATCACCGGGCTTCAGCTGGTCCACCAGATCACTGTCCAGGACCAGGTCCACCGACCGCGGGAGCAGCCCGGCCGGCGCCTTCTCCGGCAGCTCTTGGATGGACACGGTCTGGTGATCGGCGTAGGTGGACAGGCCGAACTCCGTGGTCAGCAGATTGCCCTCGGCATCCTGCGAGGGGTACACCGTGGAGGTGGGCAGGGAAGATCCGTGCGACGTGGCATCCCGGTAGTAGTACGAGTGGAATTGGTTGGTCCTCTCGCTGTAGTGCACGGACTTGACCAGCTTCGGCCGGACGAGGGAGCCTGATTGCATTGGGCGGGGGGGG